CCATGCCGTCGGTTCGTTCGGTAAAATCGCCAACATGATCAAGGACGAGCTGTCGCTGAATGGCATGATGTCCACGACGTCGGACAGATTCTGGCGAGCCATTTCGGTCGCCGGAGGCGGTCACCCCTACTCTATGAAGTCTGGAACCTCTTTGGTCCACGCTGTCATGGAAAAGTATTTGTTCAGGGAAAAGATGCTCGCTTCTTGCTTCATGGCACCGGATCCCTTGACCGAAGCGAATAGCCTCCATGATCCCAACTTGGAACACGTGTTGCAGGACAAAGAGAGGCTGTATCAGTACTTGTTCGGAGACTCCGTAAGAGGAAGCCATGCATATCAGTCCACTGCGGGAGCTTCAGGTGAGAACGAGTCTGAGCGGAGGAAGAGGGAGAAGGTAAGGAGAGAGAACAAAATGCCATGGATGGATGAGTACTGGGGAGTCCTTCAGCCAGAACCAATATACTCGAGGACTCAAAGGTGGTACGTCATTGATGACTTCAAGGAGGGTGAGGAGATTTGCTGCGATTACTGTTTGGTCTGCAATCCCATAGACTCCGATTTGAAAGACGATTGCTATGCAGAATGCATCAACGGAGCAGCAAATAGATGCCGTGGGATGTCCGCAGAAGACTACGTCCAGAAGCGATTTCATGCATGTGCTCGATTGCTTCACAACTTCGGCATGGGGCAAACGGTATCTTCTCCCACCGTCATGATCTCCGAGATGAACCCGCACGTAGACTTGATGAAGTTCTTACACGAAGCGATGATCATCTTTAACGGGAACCCAGGTTTCCAGAAGGAGATCTCGTTCTTCGGGGGGATCAGGTTGTCATCAACAATGACGGAGAACTTCTTCAAAACGAGGAGAGGACCCAGCATCCATGTGGAAAAGCAGATAGTCGGCAGCGCCAAGTACTACCAGGGATCCTATGACCTTGGAAACGTGTGCTACACCAAATACCTCAAGACCATATTGGAGCCCGATGTATTCCGCACTATGTTCGGAGATGATCCCACGGAGGAACGGGTAGGTGATATGGTGGAAGCGCTGCTGGGCATGTTGGAAATTGCTCAACTCTTCAGACACCTGTTCTTGGGATGGGGTGACATCGAGGCTTTGAGGACGGGATTAGAAGAATCCATCAAGCGCGTCACCGCATCGCTGTACGACAGGACAACATATGAGAATCGAAAGCGATCGATGATCAGAACATTGGACCCGCACTCTGATGAGGCGGCAAACGTGGCACTGATTCTCGTTCGCATGAGGACCATGCCGCCTCCTGAATTCGATATCGACCACTTCTTCGAAATTGGGAAAGAACCAGAACAGGGAGCAGAGGCTACTGACCAGCCCGAGGCCGAAGGTGTCGATATGGAAACTGAATGTGAACAGGAGAAGGAGGAGCAAGACGTTGACATGTCCGATCCGAAGACATCAATACTGCAAGCCATCGACGAATTCGAGAAGAAGATCGGACAAGCAGAATTCTGCATCCACTGCATGAAGTCGGGACACACAACTCTCAATTGCGAGAAGATCCCTTCATCTTCACCCACAGTCACCTCAGTGCTGAGTGATTGGAAAAAGAGAGTGAAGGGAGAGGTTGCACCCGACGATGTACCATCCGGACATCCAGCCGAGGAGCCCAAGAAGAAGAAGCAGAGAGCATCGCCTACTCCAGATAGGAAGGTCGACAGCGAGTTCAGGCGAAAAGAAATGTTGAAAGCAAGAGTCGTGACAATGTTTGACAATGACGGGTTCACCTTGATCGAAAGTGCCGATGGAGTCGAAGGAGGGACACATTCCTACAATGGGCGGAAGCTTGCGGAAGTAGGCCCTAGGGATATGAGGGTGGTGTACGAATTTGTAGAGAAGGCATTTGTGCACTCCAGTTCCCTCAAACCAAAGGCATGCCATCAATTCTATCCCCTACCGACACGGAGGGAGAAGGGATACAAGCCGATCGACCCCATGACAATGGTCGGGAAAGTTGAGCTAGTACCGATCAACGGAGTCACTTTCGCTGCACAGAACTCCGACTACGGCAACCACAAGTATCCGACTCCAGACTGTCGAGTACCAGAATACAGCCAAGCGAGCCAGGCCCTGAGTCGTCGATTGGGAGCGAAGTTGAGGCATCGAATTGGACGCCAGTTCAGGACAGGAGGAAGACTCACACCAATCAAATGCGACGAAGGCGCATGGGTGTCATGGGAAGACCTGTTAGGTGATAACGCAGTTTGGGAAGACGGTTATCACTATGGCAATATAGACATCGTGACCAAGAAGGCGCGTTTGGAAAAGTACCTCGACCAGAACTATGAGTGTTTCCGCATAACCAAGAGGATCAGATTCCAAATGTTGGCGGTCCGCGTTCACCCTGATGAACTCAATGATCCTGATGACCCGATGGAGAAGGAATGGATTGACGAACTCAAGGGCATGGGAATCTCCAAAGGAAGACTCCACCATAGCGACGGATGGTGCTTTCCCGTGGCCGTAAGAGCAACCTCAGCACACTCATCGGACGGCGGAGGTTATGACGTTACCATCAACATCGACCACATTGGATCGAGAATGACCAACGACATGGCCCTATCCATGGTGACTGCATTTCACGCTACCAATCTTGGAGCGCTGACTTCAATCATGCGACGGGGGCTAGTGCCAGGAGGTCTCGGTTCATCGGGAAGGGATTCTATCCACTTCACATGTTTTCCGCCATGGGCCTGGGAGCAGGGCTACAAGGGAAAACCTTGGCTGGGTCGTAAGGTCGCATTGAGTGATCGCCCAGTGGTTCTCTACATTCCGGTGTGGAAGCTGCAGGAGTACGGGCTTCTCATCTCAGCGACTGGATCTCTATTGGTTGAGGACGTCGTTCCCTTCGATGAGGTTAAAGGAGCATGGTTGCAATGCGACAATGCAGAACCCGGACAGCCTGAGGAGATCGAATGGATCAGGTTACTCAATAGAGAACCCGACCCTGGAAGCTACCTTGTTCTGGAGTCCAAATACGGAAACCCGATCATGACTCCACGCTATCAAAAGCTTGAGAGTTTAGCGGTTGAGGTCCAGGACGATACCTACTCCGAGGACGACGCCAAAATCTCAAAGCTGTTGGGCATGATCGAGGAGAGTGGTATCTACCCAGAATATGATAGCACTGAGTGGCAGGAAATCTTTGAGGAGATCGTATACCGCCGAGCAATGAAAGACTACGACTCAAGACCGTGTCCTAAAACTGTCTTGGCGAAGTCGATGTGCGATTGACGATATGTCCGCACTGCGTAGCGGTTTTGATCGCGAATGGGAAGCTCACGCATGTGGTACCCAAGGAGACAAGGGACCGCAATCAACGATCACCTCCGAGAGATGTACCAGCCAGTTCTTCCGGTGAAGCAACTTCTGCTGCAGGTGCAAACATCGATGAAGTCATCAAGAATGCACGCAAGACAGCCGAAGAAGTCATTGACGTCGAGGAATCCGAAGGAGAGGAAGACGAGGAAGTTCCTATCATTTTGAAGGAACGACCGGACGAAGCTGAAGGCGAACCCGAATATCGGGAGGTCCCTCAAGATGGATACGGGAATGAACTTCCACAGCCTTTCCCCTTCGCAATTGACGAATTGCCGCAAGAAGCTGCGATCCCCATCGACCACAACTTTGCAGTCACACAGCAATTTGATCTGAGGTTGATGAAGTTGATCAAGAGCTTGGCCAACGCAACGTTCGACATCAATTGCTTTGAGAGTCGTGAAGACGTACTGCGAAAGTTCGACGATGGACAGCGGCATGACACTCCATACAATAGATGGCCATTAGTACCGAATGATCCGGATACTGGGTTTCCAAGACGCCTTCAGAGAGCCGAGGTCGTAGGCATGAGCAAATGGACCAACGACACGTATGCAACAGAAGCGTGGCAGATCTATGAATTCCACGCCCACGTTATTCACCCGATGATGATCACTGCAATCCGCTGCGGGCTTAGCCACAAGTACCTCAAAGAGGTCGGCAGCACTCGGCGTAACATGAGTGATCCAAAGGCTCGAAGATCTGAGACCCAGGAAGAGATCATCGAGAAACTGGCATTCATCTCAAATTTCATCAGACGCTTGATCAGGAAGACCTTCGGAGCGAGCCGATATAGTTACTACCAGAAACCAGATGACGAAGGTGCCGCTCCATACAAATTCATCGACATTAGCCCCGCCATCAAATCGGAGCGGAAGAATGTCACAAAGGAGATCCTCGTTGCATGCCGCTACTATGGCGTAGAGGTATCCGATATCCAAGCACAGAAATTGAAGCTCTTTGAGGAGCAGATCCGAAGGGGAAACCCAAGGAACGTTGAGCTCATCAAGGACTACATTGGCTTTGTCGGCGCTGACTACATGCGACAACTCACGAATGGTTGAGCATTGGGGTCGTACCGACACGCCACTTCCGGTACTTCATGTACTGAGGGGTCTTGGGTAATTCATGATGACCGTTTTGGCATCATGGGAGTGAGATAGGATTGTGTTTCACACCGTTGGTAATCGCATGATACCATAGGTAGGTGCACGTTTTCCGTTTGTAGCTCCATTACCTGTTTGATCCAACTTTCAAGCGAATGCAAGATCGTTTGCTAATTCAGTTTTATAGGACATACTGGTTGACCTCCAATGCACTTTTGAGAACATGATTCGTTCTCCGGTTTTTACATCCACTCATCTCCCTTCCCCGTCGAAGCACGGATGTGGGGGGTGTCAATAGGGATGAGGTCCCAGTATAGTTGCTATACAGGTACATGCCATATACTTTTGGCTCAAGTGCCCAACCAGGTAAAAAGGAGCTTTAGCGCGCGAGCTTCATGTTGAACTAAGGGCTAGAACGGGGCCAGGGCACACCTTTCCATCCGTTCGCAGGAAATAAGGTCTTATATAGAGTGCTTGTACATCTTGCCAACATCCTAATTTCTTTTAATTTTACCGGTGGTTCAGTGGTTTGTATGATCCCCGTGACTCCACAAGCACGATATAGCACGCTGGTGCCCATGGGATTTGAGAGTCCATGAGCCGTTCGGAAAAAAACATCGGAAAATGCTAAAAGCCTACAAAACCACGCCTCAGAGTCTTCATCTTCGACATCTTGGGCATCAATTTTCGGCATCTCTTCGACATGGATGGTCTCTTCAGTCGAGGTGGTTCGACTGACCCCACGACTAGTCGTGGCCCTCGACCACTCCGTTCACCCGACTGTTCGGACGGCGACCGGAACGGACCGGACCCAGGCTGGCCGGACTACAGGAGCCGTGTTCCGGCCGTTTTCGACGTCACGCCGCTGCTCGGGGTGCTCCGTTCGTGTTGCGCGTACCCGCGGGGTGCTCCGTTCTTCCCAGAGATCCTGACCCAGCGAGGGACGAGTAGTTGGGTCCATAGAGGCCTCGAGGTTGATACGTACGGAAGCGAACGAGTAGAGGCCTCGATAGAGTGCCAGGTGGACTAGCCTCATGAGCCCGAACGAAAGCTTCGCTCATGTTCGATCAGGATCCTTTTTTGTTCAGCACCTTTGGGGCAGGTGCAAGATTTGATCAAACCAGTTAAATCAAGTTAAATCCTCCAAAACTGTGGAGGAGTTGAACACCTTGGTGTTTGTGTTGCCGCAGAGCCTTGCTTTCTCCTTTTTGCTGACAGACCCTTGTTTGAGCATGCTTGAGCCACAAACGGTTGCACCAGTGTTAGTTGGGGATCAAACACTCGTATACTTTGGAAACATATGGAAATGTACCAAGTACCAGCAACCTAGTTTATGTCATGATATATCATATCTTAACTGATAGATCCATGCAACAGCCAACATCAAGGTGATTTGGATACCATTTAGAACGGAAAAAGAAAAAGAAAAAAAACACGTGGCTTTGCTGCTCAACCGGGCTTCTTCACGCCATTCGTCTCATTCGTCCGATTCGTCTCGATCCGCAGGAGCATCACACGCACGTGGTCCTCGTGGACGGTGGGAAGCGTGGCCAGGATGCCTTCGGCACCGAGGCGTAACCCGCGCCCGCGTTCCGGGCGGAAGACCTCGGCACCGTGTCGTCCGTGTCGTGAGAAAGCTGTGCGTAGTCCTGGTCAGGAGGTAGCTGCAAGCCATTGCAAGCCACTTGCACATTGGAACTGCAGTCAGAGATAGTAACAGGGACTCCAAGTGTGCTTGTTTGCCTGTTTGGAGAGGGTCCCATTTAAACCGGACCAAACTGGTTTTGTGACATCTTGCTGCGATTTCAGATCTGGGAGCAGCTTTCTTTCAAAGAAAGACAAACCACAGGCGCCAAGAAGTGCTCGGGAGAAACTGAGTAGCAGCCCCTGGCCCTAACCCTAAGCCCTAAACCAGGATTTCATCGCTGCCTGTGAAGCGGTTGGTTTCTCATAGTTGTGTTTCATCAACTGAAGGAGAATTCGGCCCATCCCGGACCCAACTATTTTGTCAGCATGAGTAGTTGGTCCATGAGCGACTCGAGTTCCAGAAGCCGGTAGTTCAGTGGAAGTCTTGGGTTGAAGGGTCTGAACGGTCGATTCGGCCTCCCGTCGACGGCATGAACGGAGTAACTGAAAAACCCTTGAATTCCGGTTGTGCTGGATTTATAAAGTGGTTGGGTGCCATCTACTCGGATGCCGACTTGCTGTGGCTCAACGAGGCTCAACGTCGAGAACACAGTCAGGGAGTCGACTTACACAGAGTCGATGTTTCGAGAGTACAATACACACTGGTAGCAACATCTCTGTGACCATCTGGAGACCAAAACGACAAAGGCGTGCTCCACTGTGTAGCACTCAGCGTGACCATTTGGAGATCTGCAGGTCGACATGCGCGAGGCTCTCGAGAGATATGCATCTTGGAGACACGGTTTCGTCGTGGGGCTGCACCGTCGTGGGGCTGCACCTCGTCGCCGTGGCGATTAGGAACAATGCGTGGGCACCCCAATCATCCCAACAGCTGGAGGAGGAACATCTTAGAACAGAGGAACATGCAAACAAAAACACTTCTAATCAGATGGCTGGGTCCAATGTCCAAGAAGGACAACTCGGTTGATTTTGGATTTTAATGTTATTCCCCAGTTGGTCTCAGTATGTTGTACAACGCTGTAAATTGAAAGATTGTTCATCGTGTGTGATAGAGATTTGATAAGATTTGTTTGTCGACCACACCCGGTCGCAGCAACAGATGGAATCTAACTCTAAGCAACATATTTACTATCCCTCCGACAAACATGGAAGTGGAACATGGCCTCTTGGAAGACTGTTTTCCTCTACAAGCCGGTGGTTTTCCACTTTCATGATTTCAGGGAGGGTAATTGTTAGATTATTCATGCTGGGCCCAATGGAGATCCAGGGCACGCTAGTCTACGACGACTTTACCTCTAGCATGTAAAGGAGTTCGTAGGCTTCCAAGCGGCTATCCAAACCAAACCATGATTCTTAGGATGTAGAGTTGAAACGAGTGGTGAAAGAAACCAATGTGTTTTGTGACAACTATCTTGGAAACATGTCGTAGAACACAATGTGTCCAGAAACCTAGTTGGAACCATGCTTTTCCCATGTGCCACCGGTGAACAATGACCGCCGAACCGCCGCCGAGGTGGCCACAGCAGTGATGAGGGGCAAGCGCAGCCGGAGCTTTTGCCGCCTGAATGATCAAAGAGGAGTGGCCAAGAAAACCACGGGATTCAATCCACCTGCAACTTTGGAGAAGCCTTAAGAAGCCAACCAGTTGGAGAGCAGAGTCAGATGCTGGTGTGAAACCTTCCCCTCATTTCTTTTGAGAAGTCTCGGTGAGACATCTCAGGGGACGAGTCTACTGTAGTGCTTCCCCACTCGCCCGTCTTGGCCGTATTTCATGGCCATGGAGGGGAAGAGGGCCATGGCGGAGGCCTTGTTTGGTGATGGCCATCTACAGTGGTCACCATCGTTACAACATCTACAACCCCATTCAGGAAAGGTTCTTTCACGTGGAGCCAAAGATGCATAATTAAGGAGCTCTTGTGGGTTTGAACTAGATCCAACCGATGAGTCTTGCAGCAGTAGACTTCCCAGAACAAAGCATTCCAAAACTTGATGTTTGGCTAATTTTATTTGCATATGTTTGCATCCCCGGTCCTTTTTTTTCGCGTTCGCATACATGGTCGGATCTGAGGCTTTGAGCATGACACGCCTACCACCAGCACGAGAAGCAGCAACGGGTCTCACCACGAGCGAGTCTTGCGAGCTGCTCGGACTCAGCGCTGGGAAACTCGTCGATGGCGTCAGGTTCCACAGCCGTTCGACTCGGAAAACCTGTATTTAGATTGATTAAACTGTATGATATATTATCAATTATATTTACTGCATGATATATTTGGGTTGATTATACTTTGTTGTTTTTTATAAAATATTATAACTTTCAATATTGATCGGTTGACTTAGACATTCGAACGGAATGTCCCATGTCCTATTTCAAATCCTTCAGACGAGTCTGCAGCCGCTCTGTTCCGAACGTTGCCTGCTCCGGTAGGTCATGATCGTGGTCAACGGTGGCCCAGTCTCGTTTACCTTGATGGACAAGGCGATCCAAAATGGATGCCCTGTAGTGGTTTGCAACTTGGAGGATGAATAGAGACATGGCTGGCAGCCATTGGCTGGTACTTGAATGGCTCGAGATCGCAGATAGAACTGCTCGAGAGCAAGACCTTGTTCTATATACCCAGCCATAAGAAACAACCAAGAAACACACACACACTCATTCGATCACTGGGAATTGGACGCTTTCGTCTGTGCGAGTAAAGCAACTTCTCGGCGCCTCTGCAAGCGGCAAGCGGATCCAGTCTTGGCGCCACGAGGCAACAACAGTGGCCGCGCAGCTGATTTCATCGCATCCTTGAAGCTCGGGGTTTTGACTGACTATGAGGCTTGCTCGGTGCGCGCAAATGGTGATTGGGTGGGTTCGATTTGGTAGGTGATGCGGTGATCTAAGCGGTGTCCTCACATGTTTTTCCAGAACATGTTTGAGTTTTGGCAGGTTTAGGTGTGTCCATCAACCCACCTTTTTTGGTTCTGGTAAATATAGCATGATATAGCATGAGATAGCCGTATACATTATATAATACTAATCAATATTAATAGATGCAGATGTTGTGTTCTTATTATGGATCCAGGTATGCCCCAGGTGCAATCCTGCAGTCCACAAACTTGCATCGAGTCAGGAGATGAAAACCACCTCTTTCTGGGGTTTGCCATGAGAATGCCCTGGCCGCCTGGGGAGGTGTGGCCGCCTGGGCTTGGAGGTGTTCCCCATTCACCGGACGAACGCTCGCAGGAAGCATGGAAGAAGCACATGACAGCGCCACCAGATGTCCCAAAGCTGCAGATATGACATAGACAGACGGCCATTTCGATCCAGATTTGACCAAACTGTCGCTGACCGGTTGACTATCACTAAAATGATGATAGTGTACGTATATATATATATTATGTGTGTATACGTACTACAGATATATACCTGGTACATCTGTCCGCCAGTGTCGGCAGTGGAGACATGTAGACATGTGTTTGCAAATGGGATCTATTTCGTTGGCTTGGGTGTTGTTCTTTTTTGCAATGCCCATTGCATTGGCCTGTGTCCAGGTCAAGTCCGGATTGAAGGGTGTTCGTTGCGGCAGCTCGGCAAGACAACTTGGCACTGGATGGATAACATGCACTTTGACAGAGTCTTGTGGAGACTGCACAGTCCTGGTGCAGGGATGGTGTTTGTGTCAATCTGGAAAACTCCCTTGAAAACCCAGTCAGTGTCAAGCCAAAAAGGTGACCCATGTTTATGTGAGGGCTCCACCCATTTCAGTCAACCAACATTTGGTGGCCGGCATCCAGAGAGGGGAATAAGTACTTTGAAGATTAAATAAGGTAGTATCACACTTGATAGTATCTTCCAGTTTTGAGGTCAATGACTATTCAATGACTAACCGCAGCATCAACCTGGGCAGTTGGATGTAACATGGTCTTTAAAACGAGTTGGTACTTTTCGCATCTTTTCTCCATTTGCTGGCCGCTCATGCTGCGCATGGAACGAAGCCCTAGGTGTCGAAGCCTTGGAACGCATTGTCCGCAGCAGTTGCGTCAGTGTCTACACCACCAACGATCGGTCACTTCGAGGATTTCAGAGTGAGGGAAGGTTGGTGTTTTCTTTCATGCCCAGACACTCCATGTATGCCATATATGCCTACATTGGGGTGGTTGATGGGGATGGGTCGTGCAAAACCCAGGAGCCCGACCAGTCGTTCCCATTGGCCGCGAGTCCGACAGTCGTCCAGATAGGTCATGCCCGTTCAGTCTCCGGGTTTGGACCAACCTGTGCCCGGTCCCCGAGTGCACCTGTTTCTCCCCACCAAAGGGAGAAACAGCGGTGTTTTTGGCATGTATTTCTCAGGGCGTGGTTCATCTCCTTTTTGCTGAGCTTGAAAAGCCACATTGAGGTTGTTGAGTGAGGGGCCCGGGTGCCTCCTATCCAAAATGTGGGGGGGTGATTCGCGTCGATTGATTTCACCGGTTCCTTGGTGCAGTTACTAGTAGCGTCCTTGCTCCTAGTAGCAATGCCCTTTGCTTCTAGTAGCCTCTTGTTCCTAGTA